TCTTCCACCCCTCCCTCCCCAATCAGAATTTATCACAAAAACTCTTGTTCCCCACATGGCCAATAACCGTACTATTTTATCTTTCTACAATACTACAAAATGGGTAAAAAAGGCAGTCTTTGTTCCTCTATCTTTGTACTAAGTTATTATTTAAAAAACTGAAACTTTAATGTGCTAAAATATATATAATCTTACCGCAACTGTCGTTGTTTACACCAGAAAAGTCCGGATATGATGCCTAAAAAACGTCAGTCTCCTTATGTATTTGCTCTTCTTGGTTCATATATATGATCCTGTGTACCATGATTATGCTGCACTTCTGTTTTTCGATCCATTTTACTCGCGAGCAAATGAGAGTTTATTCAAAATCACCTCCAGCTTTCTCTACACGTCCCGGGAAGAATTTTCAAAATGGCGTGGGTGAAATATTGTTGACCAATCAGAGAACAGCACGGAAGAGTTTTAAAATCTGACCAATCATATTGTGTCATATATACGAAAATTACCGATGTTGAGATCGGAACAGTTAGAGAAAACATATTTACATGGTTTTAAATATCTTGAATCAATTGAATAAACCTAAAATTATGTTAGAAAAAACGATGTTCAATTTAATCATCAGAATCATTTTTTTTATTCCTTACGGAATTTACCGATTACGAAACATCGTTATTTCCGGTCATCATTTCCGCTGAGAGCAGCCATTTTTATATTCAAGTTGACCTGTGAAGTAGACCATAAAGTTCAAATATAATGATCAAAACGAGCGGGAGATACATAATATATAGCCTTTTTGACGGACAACTTAACTCATACATACGGTACCAGAGATTGAAATAATGTTTAACAACTATCCTTTACACCAATTTCACAACATTTTCTATATTATTTTATGAAATTCTTTCGTAATAATTTCTTCTTTTTTTTTTAAAGTGGATAATTAAATAGTTCTATTCCATGTAATTGTAATACGTAATGAATTAAATATTATGTATACTAAATTGAGTTGTATAGTCAAGAAAACATCGTAGGTACTGTAATTAGTGGAACTCTCCATGTTGTTTGTTTTTGTTTTGGTTGGGATGTGTTTTCACGGGTAAATCATGTTATTTCTTTGAGTAGTATAACATGTACTCGTCTATTGTTAGCCTGCAGGTGGCCACCTGTGCTGTTGGCGATAGTTGTAAACACTCGGTTGTAAACACGCTGTAAAATTTTCAACACAAAAAGAAAGTCTGAAGCTCTGAAACTTCAAAATTTACCGCGTGTTTACAAGTATCATGTACAGCACAGGTGTCCCCTCAGACGTATCTATCTCTTTCCAAGTGACAATTTCACACCTAGTAAAGACATGTTTTAAAAATGAAATTGTTTAGTTAACAAATTTAAACTACTGAAGTTTTCTGTTCTAAATAGCAATTAAATGTAAATAGTATAAAAGCAACCTTTATAGCAGTGGTCTTAATTAATAAAATCTGAGAAAAAATATTAATTCCAACAGACTTATTGCAAGGACATTCTGTAAATTTCCCTAAGTTCAAAGAAATACAAATTTCAGTAAAAGAAAACACTAAGTCCAAAATAAATATAAAAAAAATACATACTGACTGTATAGTATTTTTTGAAAAATTATTAAGTCCAAATTTAATACAAAAATAATACAAACTAACTGTATGTAATTTTCTGTAAAATTACTAAGTTCAATTTTAATACAAAAATAATACAGATTAACTGTATGTAATTTTCTGTAAAATTACTAAGTTCAATTTTAATACAGAAAAAATACACTTGAAAAAAACTAAGTCCACAAAAATACAAAAATGATATACTGAAAATAATCTAAGTCCCCAAAAATACAAAAATAATACCCTGTAAAAAATCAAAGTCAGATTTTAATACAAAAATAATCTACCTATTTGTTGGTGATACAAAAATAATATATTTTTTCTGTATTAATTTTAAACAATACAAAAATGATTGTATTAAAAATATATTAAAAATATACTTTTATGTATTATTTTTTGATATGGGCATGTATCAACAGTAAAAATCACATAAGCAGACTTAAATAGAGGACACAGCAAGGTTATGATTAGTTTGTTGTATTTTTTGCCGCTGTTGTATGATTCATGACAGTTTTGAAAAATAAAACTGACATTAAACTGTGGAAGACAAGGTCACTGGCTTGTTGTCATCATTCATCCCTATGTCACTAATGTTGTGTAGTTCACAAGAAGCTTAACATAATCCTCCTCTCTTAATTGTTGTTTTACTTTGAAGACATTTATGCAGTGATAAACATTTTTAAAAGGTCAGACATATATTCATAATTAAGTTGTTGGTTGGTATTAATTAAAATTTAAATGCTAATAACAAATTTCATTTCACCTGAAACTGTTATTGGTATATATGCTTATATATCTGAAAATTCATGTTCTTAAGTACATGAACAGTGTGTTAATTTAATCTTTTTTTTCCTACAAACATGTAATACTAGGAATGTTGCCTAGTGATTTGAACAATAGTTCCTATGACTTGTTAGAAAACAATTTTTATTATAGATTTTTTTACAGTATATGCACCAGCATGTATTCAAACAATTGTGACTATACCTACTAGTTTGAGGAAGTAGTTTATAATGAAAAAAAACTCACTTACAACCATTCAAAAAAAAAAGCTAAAGCTAACTCTGAATTAAGAATGTCCATTGAGATACTTGGCAGTGACGGGATAGAATTTCTTCCTCACAAGGGTAAAAACTGTTTGGTAGAAGAAATAAACTTTTGTGTTTTCAAGCATTAAGTACATAAAATGAATACCTACTTCAGTACTTGTGATTTTGTGCTGTAATAAATTGCATGGGGAAACCAGAGATGTGGGTAAGTTTATATTATGAGGAACTTTTTCTTTTCTCAGTGGTTTATTTCTAATTATTTTGATTATTTTTATCCATATATACAGTTGTTGTTTAAATTTAACATGTTTAAGGGCAATTAATTGTGTACTTTGAAAGAAAAAAAATGGCAACGATTTTAAGCCTATTACCCTTCGCTTTTTTTTTTGGTGCATCTAGTAAGAGATTTTCTTGTATGCATAATATTTGTTGCATGTATCCATCTGTCTGAATATGACTTTTCTCAGTCTAGCCATCAGACAGAAAACATGTCAGAATACTTGTAAAGTTTGTTTAACACCCAATACAGATAGTTGCCAAAGATGCTGAATTTTGATAACGTCCAGGATTTTGAAGAATATCTAAATGTTGCAATATTTCATGAGTTTATCCCACCAGGGTATTGTAGTAGAAGGCAGTGTATTGACTGCAGCACTAATTTGATACTGTAGATTTTAGAGCCTACAATGTGATACCTATGTATGCAGGTGAAAATGAGACCAAGTTTCTTTGTTTGAGATGTGGAAGGTTTCCAATTTTTTAGTAGTGCACTTTGTTGTTTCGTGCCAGATGTTTCTGTGCATGTGGATGTTAATTGCATTAGCCTGATGAAATTGTGTGAAGTTTTTCATTTAATCAAAAGTTTCTGAGAAATTTTGTAAATCCATATGCTCTACTTTCTCTCTTGGGGAACCCACTTGCATCATAATGAAAGACCACTATGCTTCCATTTGTTAATTAGGGAAGGGGGTGGTGTTCATTAATTCTGACCCAAGTTTTTGAACTATAGTTAGTACATTGGCACCTATGTTAATATTTGTATGTACCAGTGTGTACCATACTGTTAGTCAATAATATTTTGTCTGATGGAGGAAACATTTTCTATAGTATTTGTCAAAACTCAGTGACCTTGTCACTTCAGGGACATGACTTTCTACCTGTGTGGACATTACAGCAGACGCCAAAGCTAGGGGGCAAAAGAGGGAACATTTCAAAAGTGTATAAAGGTAAACATTGAGAATTAGTGGTTATTGACCAGATAAAAGGAGGGAATTGGTCATCTGCAGCTAATAAATTGTATTCTGTAGTAATATGGTTTTGCTATTTCAAGATTTGATAATTGTGACCAATGCTAAATTTAATTAACTTTGTCTTGAGAGAGAGAGGGAGGAAGAAAGATGGAGAATCAAATTCTAGAAAAAAAATCAATGAAGTTTATGGTGGAGACATCCTGGATACTATAGTGATTGCTTTTTAAGAAAAAAATTAATTGCTTTTCTATTGATTTTTTTTTTATTTATAAAAGCAATATTGAGGTTTCAGAGGTAATTTTGAGAATTCATGCATGTTGATATGGACAAGTTAATTGTAAATTGCAAGGATTAAGTGTTTTAATAATGCAAATTTATTAGATTGATTAAAACTATGTAAATCAGCAAGAAATATTTACAACATTGCCATTTTCTACCCCAACTTTGTAAATATAAAAAAAAAAAAAAAAAAAAAAATAAAAGTCTGCAGTGTTTCATGGAATACATGTACCAATATTTAAAATTATGTCAGTGTAGAGACTTGAATTTTTAAATTGAATAAAACTTGGGTATCAAAATTTTTTTGGAAGAATGAAAAATAGAGAAGCTGAGTTTTCAGACCTTAATTGTTTTTTCAATAGTTTCAAGATAAATCAGACAGTGCCAGTTGAATTATAATTAAACTGCCACAGTATTTACTATCAGACAATATCCCTCTGTGAGAGATATACAATGTGTTTTACTTGTTTCTGCCACCTGTTTGCAATATAAAACATTACTGTACTTGCTTGAGCAGATTAATTCTTGTGTATAATGCTTCAGAATGTAACAAGAAAGGAGAAAATGTATGGCTGGATTGGGAATTGAACCCAGACCTATGCATCATTTGTCAGGTGGTCAAACCACAGAGTTATCAAGGCTGATATCCATGGTCCAAACCATTACATCCCTCCCTGCTTAAATTGTCTTTGCCCTTGAAGACATAACCCAAGTACTTATGCCCCTGGCAGGAATATCACCTGCAAATCCAGGTATGGTCACTGGCACCAAATTATGTAACAGGAAAGAAGAAAATGTGTTGCTGGACCAGGATTCGAACCTGGGACCCCTGCATCATTAGTCAGGTGTTCTAACCATTGAGCTATCCAGGCCGATAACCATCACCCAACCCACTACAAGAGTCTTCATCACATTTGCCAAAAAAAAAAAAAATACTTACAAAAACAAACAAACAAAACAGATTTAAAAAAAAAAAAAAATGTTACCCACATAGGAGATGTGGTTAGTTTTAGAATGAGATGGTAAATTATTGAATATATTGACAAGTTCACACATTTTTGTATCTTTCTGATAAAATACAGTTAGACAGTTTATGCATTATTTATGGTGGAATTATCGTAGGCTGGACATAATGTGACAATACAATTTCTAATACAGTAGACTCCTCAACTTGTTTCTAAAGCTGCAAGATTTCAATCTCTGTGTGGGTCATTGTCCAATTGTTTTTCAGTAATGTTTATGTGTATAAACTTGGAGGTGGATCCAGAAATTTCATAATAGGAGAGGCCTAAAGCAAATATTGTAAATGTTTGGTTTGAATTGGTCATATTTCCTAAAAAGTATAATGATATAGGCATTTCTGTTAATATTTGTAGTTTGAGTATTAATGGACAGTTTTATGTTGAATAAACACATGCACCTCTAAAATAGGTCTATTGTTGACCATCTGTTCATTGAAACCTTATATTGTGTTACTTCATAATAATATGTAGAGATTAAAACTTTTAATATTTCCCCGATTTTCCTTTATTGTGTGCGTTAACACGATAAAGGTTATTTATCATTTGGAGAGTAGGACCCTTGACTCACAGTCGCTGGAAGCACTATTGTGTTTCACAAATTTGTACAAGATATAGATTGTTATTTGTCATAGAGTAGAAAATATGTGAAAATGGCTGTTGCAGTGTATTTACGGCATCAGACAATATTATAATTTACGTACAAGTGAGAAAATTTTCCCCCAGCAATAATCTGTGGAATGCAGTTGGCTTTATAATAATCAATAAAAAAAAAAGAGAGTGCATCTATACTGAGTAATAATTCATTGCATACACATGTATTTTGTGATCAAAATATCTTTAAAATAATGCCTGATAAAAGAGTGCTTAAAATACTTGTTTGAGTGTTATATCTCACAACCTGCATGTTGTCTTCTCCTGACATGTCTGAGGAACAAGACAGCCAGACTCCCAAGAAAGTCGCTGTGATTTTTTAACTGTGTTTAATATCCTCTTCAAATTCTAATTATTTTGGAGCACTTTTTCCAAAAAAGATTTTCTTGCAAGGTACCAGCAATTTCACATGATAGTTTGTGTAATCATGGTAATTATTGTATCCTCGATGTAATTAAGTGTCTAGTGCAAAAAATTTAAAGCATTATCTTCTCCTCTCCAACCCCCAACCTCACTCCCCCAACCCCACCCACCCACACCAATCACCAGCATTGATCAATTCCACATCAATTACAAGCACCAATCACTTATACTGATCACCAAGCAGGGATCACCCATACCATGCACCAGTACAAGCACATGCTGCAGCACTATAGATGGAAAAGATATGAATTTCATAGCATGATACACATGTGTTTTGTTCTTAAATTAGAAAAAAAAGCCATTGAAATGAGATACTACAATATTTTTCAGAAGAAAACCCATGCAATTTTTGCACAGAGTCCAGGGGGCATAAAATATGGTAGTCATATTTGCCTTTATAGCAAATGAAACCTTTATGAAATTTTTTTTTATACATGTATGTATATTGATTGTTGGGATTAGAAAACCTAGCTAGAACACAAATATTGTGACCTTTCTCATTACTGTGACAGATTGCTATACTCATTTCTAATATCTTCAGGGTATCCTAAGCAATGGCATCGATTTTGTTGCTCTATGTTGCTATCATAACGATGCATCCTCTTTTTGTCATTTTTTTTCTTTTCTTGTATTAATAGATTGTGATATTATCTTCACTCTACTGAGTTCTAAGAATTGATCTGAAATTGTTGATTGCCCTAACGGTTTGATAAACCACCTTTGAAGTTGCCTGTAACATGGATAATGTTACATGTCTCCTAGATTAAAGGCCACAGAGTCAGATAACACTTAATAACAGAAGTTAATGATTTTAATATTGCAGTCATTCACAACATATTGTCAGATTCAGTATTTCATTCCACTGACCCATAACTCTCATTTGCTTCTAAGACATCAAACATAGAGCATTTAGTGTATTCGGTCAGGTTGATGAAAGTGAAACTTCATAATTAATTTTGGAATCTTCAGTTTTAGTTTTACTAGCAGTGAAGGTCAATTTTCCATATGCATACAGTCATGTATTGTGTTTAATAAATACTTTCTTCAGAAGTGATCAGGACATCTGAAAAATTTATAGCTCTTTATTTCTAGTGAAACCAGGAGACTAAACTTCCATACACTTGTCTAAAAATATTAACCAATTTGTTTCTTAGTGTCCATTGTGTCAATCCTAGTTGTAAGAACCCATTTTGCAGACAAATCAATCATTTGGTAGGCCAGTAATGTGATTCTCTGATTTACAAGTAAAGTTTTCCTCTCAGTGAAGAAGCAAATTCCTACTTAGGAGATGGTGCGAGATAATGAGAATGTGATTTTTGTTTTAAAAAAAAGATAAAACTTCAGGGGAGGTGAGTGTGCCAGACAATTCTTAAAAGAAACCTGTGTTTCAAGTACAGCACATTACTTTCAAATTATCATGATATATGATCTCAGACAGAAAATTAAGCTAGGTGATGCCAAAAAGTGCACACTGCATTCCAAACCATTTCAAAAATCTAAACATGTTGCAGAAAGCATATCACTCTTTGAGTCAGTGTTTCAGATCCATTCACTCTTTTGGTCTTGCTTATAAAAGCAGCTTCTAAAAGATATATTGTTTGATTCTGACAGATGCGACCAAGATTTATTAACAATGTTCTAAAAATAGCTGTGCCTCATCCTCACATGGCAACTGTTGGCATTGTGTCACCACAACATTCTTAGCCTGCGGTGTTTTTTTTGTTTTTGTTTGCATTCTTTTCTGCCATCTTTTCCACACTAACCTAAGCTGTGACTCAACATCAGACAAAAATCAAAGTAAAATAATCGTGCAAGAGGGAAACTATTCATAAATAAAAATTGGAATTGAAAAATTCATACAATATAAAAAAGCAGTATACTGCTATATTTCAAAAGAAATTGAAAAAAAGACAGATAATTTTTTTTTTCATGGTTAAGAGTTTTTGAACTTATTCCAAGAAAAAAAAAATTAGCTGATAACACTTGACAAGAATTATTACACTTGTAGGATTGGCTACAGGTTTAATTAAAATAAATTCAAAAAAAAAAAAATGAGGAAAATATTTGTAAAGGGATGTTTTTCCATCCTGAATATGGATTGGGTGTTAAATTAAATAAAGGAAGTACAAATGAATAACGTATGCCTCCTATTTCTATTTGAAATAAACAGTTTATTTATTTATTGTTTTTGGCCTATTTACTCATTAGATTAATTGATTTGTGCCAATAGAGATCAGATTGGGTCAGTGGCATTACATTGATGTCATATGCTACATGTTATTGGTGCACACTACTGCGCTGTACCAATCATATGTTTCTAGCTAAACCATTTATAACAGAGTTAATATGTCTGAAGAAGTAATTCTGATGAAAGATCATTTTGTGGAAATCAGTTGGGTTTTTTTTTTTTTAATGACTGAAATATTTTCTTGGGAATTTATGAGCTGACTTGTGCAGAAAAGTAAGTTTTTTAAAAAATTAATTTCATTGAAGTATGTTAGTTTAAAATGTACTGTTTTAGCTCTTGAGTGAAAGGCTGATCTAAGGAATTAAGGAGTGTTTCTAGTGCACTGCTGCAAGTTGAAGTTGCAGATGTTGTGTCTCTTCGTGATCCATAGAAATCTTGTCACATTTTAAGTACAGCATAACTTGTTTGAGATATCTGTATTTAATTTTCCTTATAAACAAGGTTTGTTACACATGTATCTATAGGGAAGTTCTTTATGCTAAGGTTAAAGTTGCTAATTGTAATGTCAGTAGTCACTTAAGTCTATTTTTGTCTCCCGCTTTCACTGAAAGTAGGGGATATTTGTGTCTGTCTGTCCATTCTTCTGTCTGTCTCACTGTCTAGGGTTTGTGTTTAACATCTGTACAAAATCTCAAAAGGACATAAAGCTTTTAAAATGAAATTTTTTATCACAACTCCCTGTGGCCTTTAAAGAAGGGAGTTTGATTTTGAGGTTGTAAGGTCAAAGGTCAAGGACAGAAATTCAGCGTATCAGAAAGTTTGGTCGTTATAATGACTTTGTTAGCAAATATGACCTATTATTGGTCGTAATTTTGGCAGACATGTTTAATACCAATTGTTAGGCCTTTGTTTCAATTTTTTACTAAATTTGATTATGGAATGTTCCGTTAACCTGATCAATACACAGGACTCTTGGGGAGTGTGAACGATCAACAGGGGATGCTTACTTCTCCTAGGCACCTGATCCCACCTCTGGAATTTCCAGGGATGTGTTTTTATGCCCCGTTCAGGGATTTGTATTGTTTGTAAATTTTTTCGAGATCGATCGCTCACTGTTCATTATCTTCACCTTTTTCATATTCTATGTGTATCACTTTTGTTTCAGGACATTATCTCAAAAAGCCTTAAAGATTTTGCAATGTAATTTTATATTGCAACTCCCTATGGCCTAAAGAAGACCTTTATTGATTTTGAAGTCAAAATGTCAAAGGTCAAGGTCAGAAAATTCATATATTGTGAAAATATGTTTTCCAGATGATAACTTAAGTTTACTTTGATCTTTTTCAATGAAATTATGTATCTTAACAACCAGTAACTTAGAAAAGACCACTATTGATTTTAAGGTCAAAGGTCTAGGACAGAAAATCATACAATGCAAAAAATTGCTTCCAAATGATAACTGAAGTTCTCTTCGAGTTTTTTCAATGAAAATCATATATCATATAAATGCCAGTTGCTTAAAGAAGACCCCTATTGATTTGAGGTCAGATGTCAAAGATCAAGAACAGAAAATTATTTAATTGCCAAA